GGCCGTTGCAGGCGTTTGTGGGTGCTGCCCGGACCCCAAAGCGGGAGCAGGCAGCATCCTGGAAAGCCAAGCCGCTGGGCTTGCCCAGGTCTCATGGGTGATGTTCAAAATGGGGTGGATCCAAGCTGAGTTGTCCCTCTGCCGAGTCCGAGCAGGCTGTGGATGCATGACCTTCCCAAACCCTCCGATGAGGCCATGCAACACCACCCAGGGTGGTGCGTTCGCTGCAGCCTGCGCAGGGGGTGGCTGCGCCGTGGGGGCACTGCACGTGTGGGTCACCGTGTGGGGCTCGCAGGCTGGCACTCAGGAGGCACTGGGTCATTTACCCAGTTTCTCCCTGGCCTCTTGACTAAGCAGGATGGTACCCTCAGCAGAAGAGCTCCAGAGATGCTCTTTGCCTGTATCCTCTGTCTGACTTCTAGCCAAGAGGAACCATCCCAGGGTTGGCCTGTGCTGGGAGGATTCCTGGCTATTTCTGTACCCAAAAGAGGTTTTGAGTGGAAAAGCAGTCACATCGCTGATGCCTGGGGAGGTTTTGCCCTGCCTGAGGCTATGCTAGAAAACAACAGATCCAGGTGCCCAAATAATCCCTCAAGAAGCCCCCACCCCCCAGGCTGGCTGTAGCCATCGTGGAACTGCTCAGTGGTTTGGAGCAGGGACCTGATCCGGCTGAAAACCAGCAGGAGGGGCTGGGGAAAGGTGTCGTGTCTGATTTTGGTTGAAATCGGGTCAAAGCAGGGGCCAAGTCAAGCACCTTCTAGCTGGCTCCCAAAATGCACCTGCAGCTTCGGGACTTGCAGCGAGAGAGAATAAGTCCTCTGCTGAGCTCAGGACCCTCCGTATCACGTTTTAGGGTTGGTTTAGTAGAGCATGGGTATTCCTTTCTGGTTTCTGAGCCAGTGCTACATATAGCAGCCGGGCTGGGGTTGGGCTGGAAACCCAGGTACCTCCTCAGCCGCCTGTGCAGGATGAATTCTTGGGTCTGGATCATTTGTATGCAGAGTCACGCTTGAAATCTTTATCAGCGTGTCTGCTGATGACTTATCTGCAATGGGAATGAGACTCCCAGCCCTGCTTTGGGAGCATATTTGGGCTTGATGGTGTTTTCGAGCTGATGTTGTACCGAATTGTTGTCAAAGATTTGAAAAAAAAAAAAATCCTACTAGATTGTCAGGTAGGAAACAGACTGCAAGGCAGTGGGAAAACCAGATCTTTCCCTGTGATCTGAGGATGCGAGTGCCTTGATACAAAGGTTTAAATCCTGGAAATGTGCAGCTCCAGTCTGCTGTGAGATGCCAGTTCTGAGAACCTGAGCATCCTCTGTCCCCAGGTGGTAATGGTCCTAGAAATCCATGAGAGTGGGAGTTGGAAGAGATATGACCCCCCCATGCTGGAAATACTTTAGTGAGCTCTTGGTGTATAATGTTCCACCTCCTAATTATGGGAGAGATGGAAAAAAAATTAAATTGGAGAGCAATGCCAAGGCATGAATACCTTCCTCCCCTGTACCGGCTGGAGTGACGTGGTGCTGAGCCCTGCAGGATTGCAGCAGCAGTGCTGGGCGGGAGGATGCAGCCCATGACCACACATGTGTATGGGGGAGGAGAAAGCTGTGGGGTTTGGGGACCACCCAGAGGACCCCTTTAATCGTCAGTGACGATGCAAAGACATAAATGAATGGGAGTGCACAGCTTCGAGGTTACTCCATCAGAGACCGAACCTGGTCCCTCCAGAAGATGCTCCGTGGGCAACCTGTTCTTGAGGTTCTGATCTGTTCTTGACTAGACACACGGGGAGGAAAGCAAGCTCTGGGAACCCAGGGCTTTGCTCCTTTTACAGCACAGCCATCGCCTCCAGTGCACGTGGGCTGCTGGCAAAGCCCTTTATTGACCTGCTGCAGAGCTGTCCCATCTCCTGGGGACAGACAGACTCCGGCGTGACACACGCCGTGCATTAGTGCTGGATGGCGCGGATGACATCCATCGTAGGAATTTTTGCTGCCTGTGCTAATGGCGTATGCTGAGACCCCAAAACCCATCAATGAAGAGCCAAACCGCCGGCAGCGGGGCAGGATTCAGGCTTTGCTGGAGACGTGGGATTAGGCGGGCGTACAGGCTCAGCACCAAGGTTTTGGAGGGTGTCTTGGGTTTGCAATTCAGCTGCATGTACGAGAGGCCCAAGGACCTCGAAATGCAAGCAGGGAGAGCTGCTTTGCCTGAAACCTGCAGTCCTTCAGCTCGAGCTCTTCCCCTTTGTGAGGGTTTTTGCACCGACAGCCTCCCCTCAACTGCATCCCAGCATGCAGAACCAGGAGAGAGCAAGGTTTTACAAACCTAGAACCAGCTAGAAAGGCTTTCACACAATTAATTCGATTAATTTGAAAGCTTCTAAATGAATAAATGCTCCCCTGCAGTGCCCACACCAAACTGTATTGTCCAAATGGAAAAAAAATGCACAAAATAGGCAGTGGGTGCCGTGGCAGAGGGATCCTGGTGCTGGTTTCGGTGGCTTTGGGGCTCAGGAGTGCAATATTCCCCATCGAATACCAACATGAGCTCACCTGGGGGTTTTATACCAGCACTGCTGTGTGTCTGTTTACGTGTGTGTGTGTGTATTCTCTTCTGTCTAATAATAAGGCTGAGTTCACTCTGCAGCCTTTCCCTTGGTGGGGGAAAAATATGTGCCCACCCACGTATTTCATTAAATTTGTAAGAATTCGGTATTTTTGAAAACTCTACCGCTCTGTCAGATTGGGTTGGAATTGGCCAACACGTTCAAAAGTTATTAGTGTGGGAGTGATGGCATATAGATATATAAACAGCACAATCACATCAGTAAAGCCCCATTTCCTGCGGAAAGTAGGCTAAAAACACAGTGTACTGAAGACAAGTAAATTGCGTTCTTAAAGTTGTTTTAGTCTGAACGGAGTACAATGTTATCTGTGACACAGAAAAGTAAGCTCGTTTAAGGAATACTTTTTAGGTTCAGGAGATGATTCTCCTAAATTTTCTTTGATGTGATTGAGGTGTAATAACCCTTGCTTTCCTCTGGCATCTCCCACGCGCTGAAATAGTTCATATAAAGTCAATGGGCGAGAAGGGCTGTGAATCGGGTCTGGAAAACTGCTGTTGTTATCAATTATCGGTTCTCAGGGGGAGCCAGCCCTTTTTTCAGCCGGTTTAAAATGAAGGTGCAGGGATGGGAACCCTATCTTTGGGCGATGGGATGTTCATTCCCCTCTCCTTGCTGCTGCTGCCCTGGAAGGATGCAGGATGCTCTGGAGACACCAGCTCCTGTCTCATTAGTGATAACTTTGATACCTGAGGCAAATTGTCTGTAGGCACTGGTGTGCTCTGGTCACTAAAACATCATATCCAGGCAGGAGAGGTGGGTCAGAGAGCTCATCCTCACCCCTCGGCTTTCGGCACAGCTGGATGTGGAGGATGGATGCACATGGAGCATCGATGGGAGCTCAGGACCAACTCCAGCTGTCCGCAACGGATGGTGGCAGTTTTAGTGCAAGGTGGACAGACCCTAATTCTCTCTAGGATTTCCTTTTGCTCCCATGGTTCAAGGATTTGTCATTAGTGGCTGGAGAGGAGGACACATCACTGGTGCTAGGGATATGGGTCCCAGAGATGGGCGGCGTTTGGCGAGCACTCGGCTCCTCTCCAGCACAAGGTTCATGGGCCCCGTCACTCAGCACCTTAAATGACAGCTCCTCGGAGCCACCACTGCCCCAGCACCCCGGAGGGGATGCTGTTCTCAGGTTAGTCCTAAGTAATGCACTTCCAGGCTTAATTATAGCCAAGGCATTCACCGACGATGAGAAAAATATAATTAAGCTCAAGAGTCTCAGGAGGAGTCGGGCTCCAAATTAGCACAGTGCCATTCAACTTCAGAAAGGGAAACGGGAGAGAAAGAGAAAAAGGAAGCGAATAAAGACAACCTGGCAGCGAGGACGGGTAAGGGAAAATGTTTGGGCTCAGCATGGATGCTCCTTCAGGATGCTGCAGCGAGGGCGAAGCATCCGTCCGCGTTTGATGTACGCTGGGGAGCAGGAAGGGAAGCAAAGCCCCAGAGAGCTGAACAGCAAAGTGCAGGAGGTTGATTGAGCCAAACAGGTATTTTCTTCAGAAAAAAAATGGAAATGCAGCACAGGCAAAACCCGCAGAAAAGAACAGATTCTGCAGTTCTGATCCCAAACATTTTGAGTTGCGGTAATGTCACTACCGGCAGTACGCTGAGCCAGAATAATGCTGCTTAATGCTCTGCCAGGCCTCTGCCTGCAGCTTTGCAATTGTACTCG